TGTTACAGTGTAGTGGATAAAAGTAGCAGACAGCTCCGAAACTGGATTGCCCTGTTTAATATCCTGGCTTAAACCTGTCTGGATGTCCTTGGACAAGTTATTCCTGTCTAGTGTGTCTGGTTATGACAAAGCTAGCAACCTTGTAGAGTAAGGGCTCTCATCGGGACCAGCAGTTAGCGTAATGGCTATGTCGCTGGACTCCCACGTAGTTGACTGCAGTTCGAGTCCTGGACCCGGTGGCTTAAACTCACGCTGGGCGCGTGTGCATGCGTGCCCAAGATCCCGAGGAGAATCGAGAAGGGATTGTGGCGTGGCCATCCCCCCCGTGGGGTGATTTCTTGCTTTCTGTCTCTCTGTCTTTCTCTGTCTGGCGAGCCTCATTAAGCAAAAACGTTGAAAAAAAAAAAAAAAAAAAAGAATAGGGCTCTCATCGATCAGAATGGATGATGGCAGTAAACAGCTGATACAGTAAATGCCAAGTGAATATGAGTTTTGTGCATGCTTTAGTTTTTTCATCTATGAAATAGGCATTATAAAGATACTTCCATTGTGAAGGTTAAATACAATAATTGTTCTTAGACCAGAGACTGGCCCAGAGTATTCAGTAAAATGTAGCTGTTACCATCATTATCATTATCTACAACTCTTTAAGCAATGTGCTCTTCATGCTTTTGGATTTAATTCCTTTCTTTTAAATTATCTGTTTTAAAATTTTATTTATTATTATTATTTTTTTTTAATTTGCTATAAGACATGGTATGCTCACTAAAGAGAGAGACACAGAGAGAGTGCAAGTCACCAGGTCCAGGACTCCAACCAAGGTCTGCCATGTGGGAGTCTAGCACCTTAACCACCACGCCACCTGCTGGACCCTGAATTTAATTCTTTGTCTGAAAGATTTTTTTTTCCCACATGAAAGTTTTTTAGTTTTTAATCCTCTCATGAGCAATCTGCACAATCACTGCAGATAGTCACTGCAGAATGTTTACTCCTTCAACTTTTTGCCGGCACCAACATTGGCCTTTGCAGTCCCCCTGACTTTCTTCATTCTGCTCTTGCATTCCTTTCGCTGTTTTCTTTTTTTTTTTTTTTTTTTTTTTTTTTTTTTTTTTTTTTTTTTGGGGGTTTTTT